GGGCACGTGTCGCTTACCTGGACACAAGGTAGATGGAGATATTCTGGTAGACGCAGAACACACCCACGCAGAAGTCAGCCACTGCGAGGTTCGCCAGGAAGAAATTGGTGATTGAACGCAGACGTCGTGAAAAACTCACCACAAGGATCACCATTAGGTTCCCTGCAACAAACAAAAATGTCTTTCACAAATGTTCCCGCTGCCGGATCGAAATGTAGGCATTCTTACTTCCAACCTACACTAAATGGTGGACCAAAAGACCACAGACAGCGGTTCTATGATTTAACACACACGAAGAATCCATCCAACAACGATTACAAACATCAGCGTCGCTGCGTACTGTTGTCGTCATCATCATCATCATTAAATAACAGAAATTGCACCATTTGTTGAAACTAAGAGAGATCATTCCACAGAACAGTCCAGTGTAACCAACGATATTTGATGATAAACTGTACTTTTCCAGTTTCACACGGAATTTAAATATTTGACAAAATACGCATGGATTTCAGGCACAAAATATGGCTAGCCCTTCAAAAACTAACGGTAAGTATATGTACCACCTACAATCAGCAATCAATCACTCTGCATTGTTTATTCGTGTGTTTCGTATGATTCTCACTGTAAACAGCGATTATTTCCTTAAACAGCGTTAACCAGTTGATCTTTGTAATGGTGAAGTGTCGTGTTTTCTTCGCGGTACGGACTGAATTCTTAAATGTTATTCACATAAGTTTCGGGGTCACATGTGTGAATGCGATGTTCCTGCTTCAAACGCAAACATTCCAATAATGCCCTCCACTTCATTTTGCACCGCGCATGCGTCGCTGTGACAGCACAGTGCACAATGACGCATGACGCATGACGCAGGAATCTTCGTTGCGAATGCTTTCAGCTTGTCACAATATTTTCGTATTTCCTCGTGGAAGATTGTTAAGAGACCTGAAAAGCACCAGAGCACTTTTCAAAAGAGGCGGGACTGTTCGTAAGAAAAGCTCAAGTCGTTTTCCATCACAGCCATGGAAGCTTCCAGAAACTTGAACCGAGTGCAGCAAAGCGTTTGTTTGATGACTGCAGTTACAGACACTCGATCAATTTTATTTTCTGAAAAACTTTCGAACGTATTATTATTATTAATATTATTGCTGGCGTCAAGTACAATGCTTTGTTTCCTGAGATACGACTTCTTCTGTCTCACTTTCGTTAAAGTGTTTTTATACGGGACGATACATGCAGTCTTGTGTCCAAACTCTACTCCGACTAGTAGCAATCGTGCATTGCTCCCGGCCAGACATCGCCAACATTTCAAGATTTATACAACATATTCACCTATTCGCAAATCTAACTGACAGTAGCTTACTTCCTAAACTAAACCCCTGTAATTTACTGAGCCCCGAGATTCATTACTCAGCTCACAAGAGCCCGTTATTGGGCCCTGTCCTGAGCCAAACAAATCGGGTAAAAATCTTTGCACCCAGTTTCTCTTAAATACATTTTAGTATTATCCTTCATCGTACGCCTAAGATTCCCAAGTGAACTCGGGGTGACTCACCTAATGATAGAGACAACAAGTACCTCTGAAACGTCGATAAAGTTCTACCAGAATCACGACGCAGCAACCCAGAAGACGGCCATCTTTGTACAAGCAGATCGTTTGATGGAACTGTCCCAAGTTGCATCTGAAGGGAGAGGACCATTTAGATAGAAAGAAGGAAAGTGCTCTAAGAAACGCCCCCCCCCCCCACCCACCCAGAAACACCAACGTGACAATGACAAAGCGCCAGTTTCCCTCAACTAAGGACATACGTGGGTCTGCGGAAAATATTTTCTTGTCTTGTCTTGGTCGCAGTGCCATTAATCACAACAGACACACAACGACATGCGATCCCAGTTTTGCATTAAAGTCGAACTTCAAGATTCGTGATTGACTGTTTCCGAGTTGTAAAAACACCAGTGACACGTGACGAGCTTGCAATTACGCACTCACTAAAGTGGCCTGTCTCTCGAACATTCTGTGATATGAACATTTCAGTTTGTAATTAATACACACATTGATTACATAGGCCGACATGTGTGTGAGATTACGCTGTATATCAAACGAAAAATAAGCATTTAAAATGAACATCGGCCATGCCTAAAACGCTCATTTATTTCATGTCAAAGTATCAAATTGACATTTTAATCCGTTAACCCTTTAATGTTTAATGGTGACTATATACACCATCTGCTTTTTAACGAAAAGTATCTTCTTATCTCTTTCAAGATCTACCCACGTCTGGTTTTCTGTAGTTTAAACGCCATTAAGAATTTCCAATTGCCATTTTTAAAAATAATATCTAAATGTGCTTTTGTCGATAAATGTTTCCGATACAAAAAGAAATGTTAGTTGTCTGTATAAAGATGTAATTAATACAAACACAAATGACAATCGAAAAGGGGCTACTTTGGGAACAGGCTTATTTCGCTCTGAAATCCTGGGCGGAAAAGTTTGGAGATTTCGTAGACTAAAACATAAAAATACGGGCTAGGCCTACTTAGGAAAGCGCACATTTATAGTTTTCGTCGTCATCGAAAGCATTTTTCATGTCGCATCCACACACAGTCGCGGCGTGGATCTGTGCTCCCCACATCACAAAATGGGATCGCGTGAGGAGCCATCTCTCTGCAGGCGTCACAGCAGCGCGGAACACTTCCCTCCACGACTGACTCCGCTTGTCGCAATTCTGACCTGGCAACGACGAAGGCGAGAGTCTTCTCGGGCGAGGTTCAAACACGTGGGCATTCTAGCGGCGGTCGTCTGACACCACGAGGTAAGCCCCAGTACTCGGCCAAATGGATTAGCGCAGTGTTTCAGGCATTTTTCGATTTCCCGGGAGTCGCTTCTGGCAACAGTCCAGGCCACCACGAGCTGGAATTTAGCGGAGCCAAATATTTGCATTGTAAGATCCATTAGGCAGTGTAGTAAATTTTGCACAGTAGAGAAACAACGCGAGCTGTACATTTAGCAGCCACCGATGAGAGACCAGAAGATCATCCCAACTCAATCATTAACAGGTTAACAGGACGAGGAACAAGATGGCTTTCTTCATGGAGCCATTTTACACGGCTGGCAGCCCGAGAAGAATTTATTTTGTCCATCTTGGCGGCTTTAAAGTGACACTAACTACAATCTGAAATCTGACTTTAAGAAATTCTGACCTCGAGTTTTAATTCGGTATTGTAGACAGCAAACATTTCTAGTGTTCTCCGTTCGTGGATGGGATTCAGTAGAAAGGGAATTCTGCACGTCATGAGTTACAATCTGTCTCTCCCAGTTTCCTGCTAATTAGAAAAAATAATCGAAGCAATTTTCCACAATTCCAAATAAGCCAGTCTTAGCTCTCAGTTTCCTTCATATTTCTTTTTATACCGCTATATCCCGGGAAGACCATAATTAAACAAGACGTTTTATCATTTCATTGCAGTTTGTTTTAAGAAAGACCCAGGGGAAAGGGGGGCACTTTCGCCGCGTCATCAGCGACTGCTCAACGCTCTATTGATTTTCAATTAAAACCAACTTTTTCGTTTGATGCAGGGTGCCCTGTTCTTGCTAATTACAAGCACTCAGGTCACCAATTCGGCTGGAAATCAACTTAGACGACGCAGCTTCCAGCACAAGACAACAAACACAAAGCAAGCAAGAAACATTCTCTGAGCAGAAAAGAATTTTCGAGGAATTAAATACGGGGCACATTCAAATTTTCTTTCGTTAAATGAATTGTTAAACTTTTTAAAATTTGTTTCTGTACCTAAACAACAAAGCACGAAGACGTGATGACAATGTAATTCACAACAGATGTAGGTGTGTGGCGAGTTCCACGTTCCGGCCCCTTTGTCCCCAAGGACTGACCTTAGAGCCTTTACAAATGGCAGTAAACAGGAAAGTCGCTGTCCTTGCTGAGGATCGAACTGCGGCCTACTCAGTTAATTGATTAACCTTCACAGTCATAAAAATTAATAATAATCATACATTTTAAAAGTTATTTTAAACCTGTCTTCCCACACGCGTTCAGTCCATTACAGGAATAAGCATGTAAACGTAAGTTTTAATCTTCTAAAGTCCAGTGGTAATTTATATGTTCCATCTTCTGTAACAAACAGCAAATTGCATTTTGTATTTCCATGATTGGTACGATTCTCGGTGTAAACAGCGATTATTTCTTTAAACGGCGTTAACAATCGATCTTTTTAATGGTAAAGAGCTGTGTTTTCTTAGCGGTACGAACTGAATTCTTAAGTATTATTTGACGAGCTTCGACTTCAAAGGTTTAAGGCAGATGTATTTAAATTTGGTTAAGGATTTCCTTTTAGCAAACTACTTGGTGTATTTGGGTACTGATATAACTTAAATGAGATGATTTAAATTTATTGACTTAAGTCGGTTTGTAGATAAAATATATGTAAGCCTGTTTATAAATTATTCAAAACTAAATTAAAGAATTTGAAGGGTTTATATTTATTTGAAAATCAACGAAACAAAATTAATTTGTTATTTTAAATTTTCGAATCACAAAATGTGGGTGACAGACAATTTCTTTAACTAGAAAAACAGTGTTCAAAGAAAAAAGATTAATAAACCATTTGAAGCCGAAACTCATCTCAATAATATTTAAAGATTCAGCGCGTACCGCAAAGAGGACACAACATTTCACCATTGCAAAGATCAGTTTTTTTTAATTTTGTTTTCCGAGCATTATATGAAATAAATAAATAAATATATTGTGTGGGGAAATTGCAGTGTCATTTATTGTTAATGCAGGTGGTACATATGGTTACCACTGGGCTTTAAAGGTTTAATTTGTGAGGGCCCAACAATATTGAACTTCAAGAGCTTTCGATATTTTTAACCCGCTGGAACAATACTCAGAACACGGCAGCAGCAGATGGCCGTAGCCACGTGACTAAAATAATTGCAGCCAATTTGAGACCATGCATGGGCGTTCATTATCTGAAGGCACTCAAATTAACGTCAAGAGCAATTTCGCTGAATCAGGAAATTGAGAACCGGTATATATTGACATAACAACACAGGAAATGAGCGAAGGATTTTATAATGTACTTCAGCCTATCTCCAGCCTCACAGATAAATCTGTTAGATGCAGAACTTCAAATTTTCGTGTTAT